GCTTCTAGGAAATTGAAGATTCATGAAAGAAATTATCCTACGCATTACTTAGAGTTGGCAGCTGTGGTGTTTGTGCTTAAGATTTGGAGAAATCATCTTTTTGGGTCTAAATTTGAAGTGTTCAGTGATCATAAGAGTCTGAAGTACCTGTTTGACCAGAAGGAGTTGAATATTAGGCAGAGAAGATGGATTAAGTTGTTGAAGGATTATGACTTTGATTTAAATTACCATCCAGGTAAAGCAAATATGGTGGCTAATGCATTGAGTAGAAAATTGTTGCATATGTTAATGCTTATGGTTCGAGGTTAGAAATGATCGAACAATTTAAGGATATGAGCTTAGTATGTGAAGAGACTACCGATAGTGTGAAGTTTGGGATGTTGAAACTGACTAGTGCTATAATAGAGGAAATACGAGAAGGTCAGAAGTATGATTTAAAATTGGTTGACCAGTTGACCTTGATTAACCAAGGTAATGGAGGTGAGTTCAAAGTTGATAATAATGGTGTGATGCGGTTCAGAACTAGAGCGTGTGTTCCGAATATTCTAGAACTTAAGAGAAGTATCCTTGAATAAGGACATCGAAGCGGGTTAAGTATTCATCCCGGTGTCACGAAGATGTATCAATACTTGAAGAAGTTATTTTCGTGGCCTGGTATGAAGAAGGAAATCACTAAATTTGTTTATGCTTGTTTGACTTGTCAGAAGTCAAAGATTGAACATCAGAAGCCTAAGGGTCTTATGCAAACTTTGAGTATTCTAGAGTGGAAATGGGACAGTGTCTCTATGGATTTTGTGTCATGTTTGCCAAAGATTGCTAAGGGCAATGACTCAATTTGGGTGGTTGTGGATAAGTTGACTAAGTCGGCTCATTTCTTGCCAATGAAGATTAATCATCATATGGAGAAGCTAGCTGAGATGTATATTAATGAGATTGTGAAATTGCATGGAATACCATAGAGTATCGTGTCGGATAGAGATCTGAGGTTTACGTCAAAGTTCTGGGAAGGTTTGCAAAATTCCTTTGATACTAAGTTAAGGTTGAGCTATGCATATCATCCCTAGACGGACGGTCAGACAGAGAGGACTATTCAGTCTTTGGAGGATTTGTTGATGGCTTATGTGCTAGAACCATGAGGATCTTGGGATAGTCAATTGCCGTTGATTGAGTTTATATACAATAATATTTTTCATGCAAGTATTTGTATGGCACCGTATGAAGAGTTGTATGGTAGGAGGTGTAGGACTCCATTATGTTGGTATGAGTCATGCGAGAGAGCTGTGCTTGGACATGAGATTGTATAGAAGACGACTGAAAAGATTAAGATTATTCAAGAAAGGATGAAATCTTCTCAGAGTTTTCAGAAGAGTTATCATGACAAGATGAGGAAGACAATAAAATTCCAAAAGGATAATCATGTGTTTTTAAGAGTTACTCTGGTGACTGGTGTTGGTAGAGATTTGAAGTTGAGGAAGCTTACGCTGTGTTTTCTTGGTCCATATCAGATTTCAGAGAAGATAGGTGAGGTGGTCTATCAGATCACTTTACCACTGTTGCTTGCAAATCTTCACGACGTGTTTCATGTGTCTCAGCTGAGAAAATATATTTCGGATCCTTCGCATGTGATTCAAATGGATGATCTACAAATGAGAGATAACCTGACTGTTGAAGCATCATCTGTGCGGATAGAAGGATGATAAGTGAAGCAATTATGGGGTAATAACATCGCCTTAGTGAAGATATTGCATGGTGAACCAGCTGATGCTAGTTGGATTTGGGAACACGAGGATCAGATGAGGAAATCTTATCTGATTTTGTTTCCTTCAGGTGATTTTCGAGGGCGAAAATTCTTTTAAGTGAGGGAGAGTTGTAACACCTCAAAATAATTAGATTATCTATTTAGTTATTAGATTAATTTATGTTGTACAATTGTAACTTAATTGTGATGTTTATGTGATGTATGGAAGATGATGATGCTTGATATGATGTTTTGTGTGGTGTATGATGGGGTGGTAAGAAGTAAGAAGATATATAATATTTTAGAATAATTTAGATAATTAGAATGATTATTGAAATTATTTTAATTAGTTAAATAGAGATAAAATATGAAGTAAAGATGTTAGGGACAAAGTGGTAAATTGTAAATGGATAAGTTAGGGTAAGATGAGAAGACCATAGAAAGGGTTCAAAGGTTAAACAAGGAATAGAGGGAAGAAAGTCTCATTCTGTGCAATCGTGAAAAGAGAAAAATGTTGTGAAAAGAGTTAGGGCACGAAAGATCTCAGAGGGATTTGATAGAACGTAAAGAGAAATAAATTGCTAGGAGATATGTAAGGTAATGAGGTTTATCGTTGTTATTATAATTGATCTAAAGTTTAGATAATTGTAGAGTGTGTTGGGGTTTTGGGATGATGATGTTAAGTTATGATTTGATAAAAATTGCTAAAATTGTGATGTTTTCTTGCAAAGAGTTGATGCATATGATGTATAATATGATGTGTTATTGTTATATGATGAAACTAAGGGAACCTATGATGAATTGAGACCTGTATTATGAAAAAATCGAGTAGAATTTGAGTCTGTGTAGTGTAGAAATCGCAATAGGGAAGTCATGTTCACGTTGTACCACCGAGCGATGGATGTGTGACGCCGGGCAATGAAGCCTCACTCCAGCAGCGACAGACGAGTAACAAGCAATGAGAATGAGGTGAAAAGCATAGCCCCAAGATTTTTATATGGGGGATGGTCTATCGGTTGAGCGTCACTGGGCGATGTAGAATCGAGAAGAGAGCGTCGAGCGAGCAAGATATGTCGTCAGGTGATAGAGAACAAAAAGGAATGATGGTGATATCTTTCCTTCATCATCGGGAGAGCCTCATGCGAGCATCCTACTTCGTCGGACGAGCACTAGGCGATGGACAACATTAGCATTTTTAAAAATGTCGTAACTTGAGTTTCAGGACTCCGATTGACACGATGTTCGAATCATTAGTAAGCTAACACAATGAACTATACTTTGTTGGAATAAAAATAATCATATGATGTATTTTTCAGTACCTATACTTTGATGAATAAGATGATTCAATGATTGTTTTGGTATGATGTATATGTATACGATGAATTGTTAATGGTATGATGATGTTGTTTTATATTATGCAGTGTGTCTTAATATTATGATAATTATATGAATGATGATGCATTTTGACTAGCATCGGTCATTTGGTTATTAAGATGTTTCACATCATGCATTCATGGCATATGTTAGAGCATAGCCAAGTGATGGTTGTAGGACGTTTTTCTGGTGAATTTTGTAGGACGAATAGTCCAGTGATGGCCTCAATCCCATAGTGTGGATTGAGTGCAATTGATGATATGCTTTGGTTCCAATCGAGAATTGATCCTATTGATGGGGATCTTTGGAGAAATGATGACAGTGTCATCAGTGAAGTTTTGGTACCACATGTATGAATCTAACAAAGTTGCATCGCATTATATGTGGCATTGCATGATGATTTCGCTGAATAATGTTTTGTGAATGTGTGTTTGTGATGATTGCTAATTGATGTTACTACCATGTGTCTGATGAGTATTACGATGCCGTGAAGTATGAGTATAACATGAGATTTCAATGATGTGGTGTTTTTCTTAGTGTTGTATTATAACTACTACATTTACTCCTTATGTCTTTTACAATGACTGCGATTTACTCACCCTTGCTGCTTGGAAATATTGCCTTTATACGTGGGTAACTTGCAGGTAATCAAGAATAGTCCGATGAGGTTTAGAGGATAGCTGCATAGTGTGTTATTTAATGCTAAATCAAAGTAACACCACTCATTATAGAAAAACAATAACATGAACACTCATTAACAGATAAAAAACAAAAACTACAATATGCAAACTATCGAACCTCAAATCTTAAATAAGAAATGAACAACTGCCTCAAACATAAAGTATAAACGATGGGAGGGGATTGTCTCCAGTGACATAACCCTCCCGTTAAATCTGAACCATTAAAAAGGAAGAAAGAGATGAATAAAGGATAAAATATATACTTTATTGATTGAATTCCCGTTATCGATTGAACTCACGTAGCAAAAAAGATCAAAATATTCGATCCTAAATATGTTCAAAACCATGATCATTCCGAACTAACAACTTAATTAACAAAGAGTTATTTTGTATTTTAGTTTAAGTTAGTGACCAAATAATAAACTAACACTTTTAAGTAGGTTGAGAAACGTGCATGTCCTCACAAATCCGTAAAAAATAAAATGAAGCATTGTTAAGAACACATGCTTAAAACTTTGATTTGTTCTGTAAAATGTCAAACACGAGACAAACATATAATATTGAGGATGCAGACTTAAAACTTTGACCTATCCTACAAAAAATGATGACGAAACATGAAACATTACACATTTAAAATCTAAAATTGCAATAATTTATTTTAATGTTCTGGCTAGCAAAAGTAAAAAAAAAAAACGACTGAGTGACATTGATATATTAGAAGGTGTGATAAACTACATCAAAATCATGTTTTGCCTTTTATATATTTATAAATTATAGACAAATCTTTAGATTACATTAAAATCATCAAAAAACTTAAATAGTAAACCATTCTTATATTTTTATTTTAAAGGACTCATTAACAAAATCTATGTTTTAATTTAAATTAATATTATTTTTAGAAACATAAAAAATGCAATGAACCGAAAATTTATAGTTCCAAGTTAGTTGAACTTGAAACCTACGACGTTGATGTTTCCTTTCGTTGTTTTCATCGAAGCCACATTGTCAAAAACCTCTGCTGTTTCTCTATAATGTTCCATTCCTTCTTCGTATCCTTCACCATCTTCTAAAATCCACCATTCCCAAAACCATCTTCGATCCAATCGCCACCCAAAACCCTTATATTCAACCGACCCATTTCACCAATTTCACCAAATTAACTTCCGAATCAATCAAAATCGGTTTTTGATTTGTGGGGTTGGTTCAAAATGTCGTCTTTCACCACTATCCCTTGTCCTAAATGCCTCTCTTTTCACCATTTGGGTTTGAGTTCTCAGACCCATTCAGGACGTAATGTGCAGTTGGGGTTCAAGAAGTCTCAGTTTTTTGGATCTGTGAGTTGTGATTTGGTGTCAAATGGGATTCAGGTTTGTGTTTTCGGAATCAAATTTTGTGAATCTAGATTTTGAAGTTTGGTTTTTTTAATGTTAGTTTGTTTTTGCCTGTTTTGGAATTTGGATAGTGATTGATGATGATGTCATTGCATGTGATTGATTGGTTCTTATGTGTGGTTGGTTATATGGATGGTTTTTGAAGATTTGAAATTCACTCTCTCTCCTATTTGATTAATCCTCCAAATGATTGAAATTCTAAACTTTTTTCAATCTAGCTAGTTGGTCCTAAACTATTGCCTTGATAGAAGAGATTGTGATAGTGTAGGGACTAGATTGAAATTCTAAACTTTTTTTTGTCTGAAATTTTGGAAAAGAAAAAGAAAACCTTTTGTTCCTTGGAAGTCTTATTTAGTTTGAAGCTTTCTTTAACTTCTCACACTTTATAGTTGATCTATAAATCACAGGGCCATTTTTGACGGCGTGCAAGACAGGGTACTGCATAGGGCGGTGGTGTATAACACCATAGAAAACTGGAATTTCACAAATCACTACTGTTCCGCGATATGCTATTCGTCACAAAATGTTGTCAAATAGAGGCAATAGTGCCGCAGCTTGACATTATCGAACAAACTACTATTTCATACCATCTGCGATTGACAGCTTTTGGTTGAGGCGTCCCCAAACCAGTTTGAGATCTGGCCCTATTTTTTCAGCCACATCCTTCATGAACTTAACGGTCATGTCTAGGCTTTCATATTGTTCTAAAAAACCCTATCTCAAATCATGTCCAAAATTTTCACACATTCTGGTCTTCTATGGACCCATCTTGTGATGAATGTGTTTCTTTTAGGATGCGAGTCGAGCGAGTGTCCTTATAACCAGAAATGCGATATTTTGTTTGTATTGTGATTGGTATTCTGATTTCTCTGAATATTAATAATAAACTTTTCTTAGACGCTTCGCAGCTATATTTTTCTTCCCGATTATTTATTTGTTCCATCGTTATTGTTTTGTCCTACAGTGCCTCGAAAGGAAGCAAATTTCTGTCTGGAAGTCTCAAGCACTCCCTAACGAGGTTAGTTCTCATTTAGTTTTACTTTGAAAGAAAACTCGTCATCATCCCTAACCATGCTGTCCCGATGATATTTTTTTTATATTAACCGTAGCCGTACACACTTCTCTGTATGTTGTAGGCTGCTACTATTGAAAATTCTTCAAATTCTGCACCTGTATTGGTCAATGAACCTAACGATGTTGCTTCACCAAAAGAGAAAGATAACCAAAACGGGAAACCCTCCGGTCCAACCACTTCTACGGATGAATCTTCAGTTTCCACATTTATGAATCAAGTTTCAGAGCTTATTAAGTAAGACTAATGTTATGTTTGGTTTTTGATTTTTGAATTGATTCCAGTCCCAAAATCAGATTCACATAAAAGCTAATATTTCTAGCTTTTGTGGTGACCAAGGTTTTAAAAAATGGTCTGTTACCGCGAAAACGGCCGCGACAAAACTTTATCAGAAGGTGCCAATACCGATACCGTTATTCACCGTTTTTATGGTGAAAAAGAAATTGTGGTTAATTCACACTGTGATGACTGCAATCAGTAACACAACACCTTTATCAACCGAAATCGCGAAAGCCTTTACGCGACTGCAACGCGAACGCGACCGTTATTTAAAATCTCGGTGACATAGAATCAATTCTCAAACTTGTTGACAAATATGCACACAAACAATTTTGATCCAAACTATCCAAAATAAATTAATGAAATCACTTTTTTCGCGAATGTATCCAAACATAACATACATTAAGCTATTGCACACTTTTATGAAACATTTGTTTGTATCATAATTTCATGTGTAGACTTGTGGATTCAAGAGATATTGTGGAGCTGGAACTTAAGCAAGCTGGGTATGAGCTCATGATAAGGAAAAAGGAAGCTTTGCAGCCTCCACCGGTGCCACAGCAGTCGTTTTCCTATCCAGCATATCCTTTTCATCAAGCACCACCACCATCTATTGCTACTTCTGCTCCCGCAAGTGCTCCACCTGCAAAAGCAGCTCTGGCTTTGCCTGCAAAATCTAGTGCATCATCTTATCCACCGCTTAAGTGTCCAATGGCCGGAACTTTCTATCGATGTCCTGCACCTGGTGAACCACCATTTGTCAAGGCATGTAGTTACGATCTTTTTTGAACAAATTGCTATTATTCTGTGTTGCACTATTGAGTACAAAATATTGTCAAATAGCGGTTACGGCGGTGCTATAGCACTGTTGTGTAGCGGAATTTGATCAAAACGCTATTTTCATTGTCGATGTTTCAGGTGGGAGATAAAGTGCAGAAAGGGCAGGTTATTTGCATTATTGAGGCTATGAAACTGATGAATGAAATTGAAGTATGTGTATTATCCTTTTTTATGAAAGTTCTGTAACGCATCATGCACACTGATTTTATTTTGCGTTGTTATTTCGTCCTTATTCTACTGCAAACGAGCTTGATTTTTATTATGAAACATGTACACCTGACATGACAGAAACGCTGATATTTAGGAACAAACACCGATATTCAGGCACCAATAATTATTTTAGAAAATAGAAGTGACTGTATATAAACACGTATGTTAGTGTCGGACATGCCTTCAGTCTGAATTGTCGGTGCTATAGTTATATAATCGTTAGAAAAAAATTCTAATTACTCTATTCTCATTCATTGCTTTGCAGGCTGATCAATCAGGAACAATAGCTGAGATTCTGGTAGAAGACGGGAAACCAGTCAGTGTAGACCTGGTACTCTCTCTCCCTCTCACACAGACACACACGCGGACACGCATATGGACACTCATATGGACGCACACACACTCACACACGCAGACACATACAAACACAAACACATGGTGTCATTTAGCGGCTATTGAAATACTATACTTACGCAGAAATTTCAAAAACTCTTATGTTCTACGATACACAATTTAGTACGACACTATAGCATAGCGGAATGCGAACAAAACACTATTTTCTGCTATTGACAACAGAACACTATAGCATAGCGGAATACACATTTGTTGTCTCATTTGTCTAACTGAAACACTCATTCACACTTGTGTTTCATGCAGCCTCTTTTTGCAATTGTACCATGATGAGTACCAGAAGAAGGGGCCTTTCATCTTTAGTTCACGGATAAACATAGCACAAGACTGATAATGGCGCGAAATTTTTGTTATTCAGATATATTTATTGTGCAATAATATTTGTTCCAGTTTAGAAAATCATTATATTTATTTAAAAATAGAGATATTTCAAGACATAAATGCCATGGCATATCAGAAGGAGTGTTAGAGTTTGTAGTTCAAAAAGTTTTAATAATATTTTCTTGCAAAAAATGAGTTTTACTATATTTTTCTGTTTTATACGTTAGATTTCATTCTGGTAGATCTTTGGGATGGTGTCAAGGGCCAGCTTTCCGAGTTAGATTTTCGCTGATGGGTTGGCCAATTAGTCATGTTTCTTCTAGGGAACTGCTAATCCCATCTTAAATGGTGGAAAAACATTATATGGAAATTTTAAAATGTACCACTGATTTTATAAATGCATCTCGAACGCACATTGTGTTTTACCAAATCACGTCCATTCTAGTTGAATTATTTAATTTTTTAATATTTATTTTGAGGATGTATCTTCGAAATCATTTTACGTACTATGCATTTCTTAATGAAACTTTTTTTTTTGACATAACCTGATTCGAAGATGGATCTCTATATTCACATCAAACAAAATTTAAAGATACATCTTTGAAATCACACTTAACAGTAAATTGCCGTTGTATTATAGCTATAAATATCATATTCAGTTTTATATAAAAAAAAAAATCGATGCAATTTTGAAGCCATCTAATAAATCATTAAAGAAACCAATTGCAAATGTAAAGGGAGACGCAAACCGATGTTGTCTCTAATGCACAACTTAATTTGATGGATGATTAATTTATTGATATTTTTAGTAAAATAAATGTGGTTGGTAGATCTGATTGTTGGTGGATATACACACGTCTTTGGGAGTGCCTATGCGATATGACATTGTGTGAAAGGCTGAGGATGTACCACTATGAACCATCACACACACACCTTTTGCAATCGCAACCACTGTTCGTCCGGCTGGCTAAACTCGATTTAGCTAGCGTCGAGCTGAACTTAGACTCGGGTGTTCTATTATTTTTTGATACCAAAAATGATAAAATTTAATTAATTTAATTATTGTTGTGATGTCCCTTAATGATAACCTTAATTATTGTTGTAATGTATTTTAATGAGGAGTGTAAATAGGTTAGGTTAGACTAGACTTTATAAATTTTGAGTTTGACCTACGATAAATTTATAATGTCTGAGTCTGATCTATGGCTTACTATAGGTTCACTTTTTTAGCCTGACCTGACATTTTTAAGCCTTATAGTTCGGCTTATATATGCATATATAGGCCAACCTATTTAATATTTTTTCTAATATATATATATATATATATATATATATATATATATATATATATATATATATATATATATATATATATATATATATATATATATATATATATATATATATATATATATACCAATCTATTTAGATTATTTTTAATATATATGAAAATATAGACTGTCTTATAAGATTTCATAGATTTTTTAATAGTCTAAACCTGACCTATTTAATTAAATAGGTTTTTAAAAAATTTAAGTCTGATTTTTTAAATAAATAAGTTTGACCTAACCTAACTTCAAATAGACTATGCCATAGGTCCATGTATGCCGGTCTGACCTATTCTCACCCATACTCTTAATGATAACCTTAATTGTTAACCTTAATTATATATGACTGAGTTGTTTTATCTTAAATACATCATAGTTGATCGCATTCCTTGCATATTTTTGAATAATAACACAAAACGTTTTAAAAAGAGTAATCTAGAATATTTTCAGTGCCAATTATATTTCAAAACCTTAAAAGTAACAAGTACTTGCAACTTCCATAAATTAGAATCACTTGGTTAAGAAATCACAATACCTAAAGAAAGAAATTCTACTCTTATCATCTTTTCGTTTTAACACTATTGGAATAATATAACAAGTGTGAGTAAGTGGAAAAATAGTCCCACATTGGATAGGAATGTGGAGACTTAAGCAAATAAAAGTGGGAGAATCCAATCACCTATCATCTTAAGATTTTAGGTGGATAAGTGGCGTGTCTCTCACAAAGGTGCCTAGTCCTACACTATGTATCAATGCTCCTAGTAGGTTCGAGAAAGGGACCAGAAGAGTGGGGGAGCATTGTATACTCACACTTGAGAGAGAGTGTTGGAATAACATAACAAGTGTGAGTAAGTGGGAAAATAGTCCCACATTAAATAGGAATGTGGATACTTAAACATATAAATGTAATGAATCATAAACATTGTTACATCAAAAGTTGGTTAGAGGTAGTTAAAATTAATTACAATTCAATTTATAGTTATTTACCTAGTTTACTTGTATCCTAAGTAACTACTGTATAAATAATTCCTCTTGAATATAAACAACACTATCTCTTGATCAATATTCAAGGATTCACTTTATTTTCATCTTCTTTTTCATGTTTAATATCATGAACTTGTATGAGATTTCATATCATAATATAGTATCAGTCGCATTTGATCCTTGATTCTTCTTCTTACTTGATTCATCTTATTCTCTTTCTTGTGCTTTCATTCGTATTTGCAATTTCTCTTTCGATCCAACATCATCATGCTGCTACGTATTTCTCCCTTTGCAAATCGAATCACCAATGGTGATGTTGATTTCATTTATAATGTTCACCCTAGCAATGGTTTGAATTATGCCAGCATTACACCTCAGCTGAAAAGTTCTAACTATATCTCATGCTCAAGATCGATTCAACGTGCTACTGGCGCCAATAACAAACTAGCTTTCATTGATGGTTCCACTCTCGTTCCTGATCTTTTTAATCTCAACCGATGTGCATGGTAATGCTGTAATTTCTTAGTGCACTCTTGGATTTTAAATTCGGATAATGCTCCAATTTCTCAAAAAATATGGTTCTTGGAGAATTTTATTGATGTAAGGAATAATTTCAAAGAACATTTTGCTAAAGCTCGTTGTATACATGTCTCTAATATTTGTGTTGAAATCAACAATCTCAAACAAGGATCCAAATTTGTTCTTGATTACTTCACTGAATTGCATTGATTATGGGAAGACCTGAATTCCTATAGGACGATTCCAACATTTACCCGCATTCACCAATGCAGATGTGAGCCAATACGGCCTGCACATGATTTTTGTCTTGAAGATCAAATCATTCTGTTTTTGACAAGTTTTGATGATAAATTTTAAGTAGTTAAAACTCAAGTCTTTTTAATGGATCCTTTACCATCCATCAATAAAACTTACTATATGATTATTCAAGAAGAAAGTAACAATGTGGCTTTACCTTTAAAACCTGAAACTAATGTTGTTCTTCAAGAAGTCAATACATTGATCAATACTTATGTTCAAGAAAACCACCCGATCATGGTAGATCCTATGCTATATTTAGTGGATTCAATCATTTGAAAAAAGAGAATAGAATTTTGTACTTATTGTAATAGATCAGGTCATACCATATATGTTTGCTATCATAAGCATGGATTCCCTCCAAAATTTAGCAAGTATCTACTAACGTATCTAATGTTTCAAGTGGTGACGCACAGCATCTGTTTAACAATGGTGAAGTCGGTGTATCAAGCAAACAAACTACCAATATAATTCAATGAACAATACACTGAACGAATTAATTTATTACAACAAACATATTTGAAGCCTCATACACAAATCTCTAATCCTACTCCTAGTTCCAATCACATTTCTACATCCTCTACTCATTACGATCATTCATTACCCGATAATCCAGATAATTCACAAGTTTCAATTGTTTCATGTTCCATTCACTCCAAACTTGAATTTTGGGTTACTGACTCAGGTGCTAATGACCATGTTTGTTCATCCTTGCATTGGTTTAATTCATACTACAAAATTAGGCCAGTCAATGTCTGTTTACCTAATGAATATGCTATTGTAGCTAAGTATGCATGCACAATTAATTTTTCACCACATTTATGTCTTACAAATGTCTTTTACACTCCTGATTTTTCTTTTAATCTTTTATCAGTGTCAAGACTATGTCATTCCACTAGTTGTGCTTTTAAATTTTCTCACAATAAGTGAATTATACAAGATAAGAAATCACAAAAGATGATTGGTTTGGTTAAACATTTTGAAGGCTTGTACAAGCATGTGATTTATGGTGGTTTCACGATTGTAGATACATCTCTGTATCAGTCTAGCATTCATAGTATTTCCCTTTCCAAACATCGTATGTCTATTGTTTATGCTAATAATTGTAGTGTTATTTTAAACCAAGTCATATGGCATTTTAGATTGAGTCATCTGTCTCATGATAGGCTCTATAAATTTCTCAATTGTACCCTCAAGTTGTTAATGATAATAAAGCCATATGAGACATTTTTACTTTACTAGGCATAAGAAACTTCCATACAATTTAAGTTGTTCAAAGGTTGATCATAAGTTTGAACTGTTACATTTTGAAATATGGGGCACTATTTCCATCAATTCAATACATGGTCATATATATTTTTTCACATTCCTTGAGGATTATGGTAGATTTGTTAGGATCATTTTTCTTAAGTCCAAATCAGAAGTCTCTAACTATAACACCCTAAACCCGCACATGAAATATCACATAATTTAATTATAAATGCAACCACGTATGCTGTCACACACATAAAAAACACACACCCTGCTCTGTAACACGGGTTTCAACATAATAGTTTCAAAAATACACATTTGTAATTAGGATGTTTACACGACATCCAACTCACCTGAAGCTTACCTGGGACGTTTACACGACATCTAACTCATCAAATTGGTATCACATATTCATATGATAAGACATTTCATAACGTGTCATCACACACTCACCCAATTATTTTAAGGAGTCATTGTAGCGGAATCATTACTAAAACAACTAACAACGACATTGTAACATATGAGAATTCGTATCATAAACGTCAAATTCATATCATTAGAAAAAAGAGT